CCAATCCTTCTCTGGTGAGGGAATGCGTTATCGGCGGTGTTTGCCGGTGAGGCCGCACCCCAGGCCTCTTAATGCAGTTCCATCAACACGCGGATTTTTTTTTAATCCGGTTGGGAACTGCGCGGTACCGGGATTTGAACCAACCACGGACCTCTTGCATGCGAGGCGGATGCTCTAGCCACTACGCCGCCATCGCCGCTCGCCCATACATACATACATACATACATACATACATATATATATATATATATATATATATATATATATATATATATATATATATATATATATATATATATATATATATATATATATAATCATTGCAAGCCAAAGCAAAAGATTTTTACCTCTTCAAAAGCAGAAGAGGTAAAAACACAGTATACTATAGTGATGGGCGACATTAATGCAAAGGTAGGGAAGAAGCAGGCTGGAGACCAGGCAGTAGGAGATTATGGCATCGGTACTAGAAACGCCAGAGGAGAGCTACTAGTAGAATTCGCACAACGCAATAATTTACCGATTTTGAATACCTTCTACCGAAAACGAGAAAACCGCAAGTGGACATGGAGGAATTCAGAGTGTCGCTGCAGAACAGGTACTGCTCTTAGTGAGGAAACCAAATTAGCGTAGATAGAATGAATGATAATCTGACGAGTATCATTATGGAGTGTGCAGTGGAAGTTGGAGGCAGGGTAGTTAGACAGGACACTGGCAAACTTTCCCAGGAAAACGAAGAACCTAATTAAGAAGCGTCAAAATCATGAAAGTGTCAAGTACAACAGACAAAATAGAACTGGCAGAGCTTTCGAAGTGATTAATAGACGTAAGGTATGCGATGTAAGAAGGTATAACATGGAGAGAATTGTGAAAGCATGAAGAGGAAACTTGAGGAAACTTGGGATAGGCAAAAGTCGGATGTATGCACTAAGGGACAAAGAAGGCAAAATAACTACCAATATGGATAGGATAGTTAAAATAGCGGAGGAGTTCTACAGAGATCTGTACAGTAGCCGAGACAACCACGACCTTAATACTATAAGAACTAGCAGTAACCCAGATTACACCCCACCAATAATGATAGAAGAAGTCAGAAAAGCTTTGGAGAGCATGCAAAGGGGCAAAGCTGCTGGTGAGGATCAGGTAACATCAGATCTGCTGAAAGATGGAGGGCAGATTGTGTTAGAAAAACTAGCCACCCTGTTTACGAGGTGTCTCCTGACGGGAAGAGTACCAGAGTCTTGGAAGAACGCTAACATCATCTTAATACATAAGAAAGGAGATGACAAGGACTTGAAGAATTACAGGCGGATCAGCTTGCTCTCTGTAGTATACAAGCTATTTACAAAGGTAATTGCTAACAGAGTAAAAAAAACATTAGAATTCAATCAACCAAAGGAACAAGCAGGATTTCGAACAGGCTACTCAACAATTGACCACATTCATACTATCAATCAGGTAATAGAGAAATGCTCAGAGTATAACCAACCAATATACATAGCCTTCATAGATTACGAGAAGGCGTTTGATTCAGTAGAAATATCAGCCGTCATGCAAACACTGGGGAATCAGGGCGTAGATGAAGTATATATAAACATTCTGGAATAAATCTACAGGGGATCAACTGCTACCATAGTGCTTCATAAAGAAAGCAACAGAATACCAATCAAGAAGGGTGTAAGGCAGGGGGACACAATTTCCCCAATGCTATTTACCGCGTGCTTACAGGAGGTTTTCAGAAGCCTAGAATGGGAACAGTTAGGGATAAGAGTCAATGGAGAATACCTCAGTAACCTGCGCTTCGCCGATGACACTGCGTTGCTGAGTAACTCGGGGGACAAATTGCAACTCATGATTACGGAGTTAGACAAGGAGAGCAGAAAGGTGGGTCTTAAAATTAATCTGCAGAAAACGAAAGTAATGTACAACAACCTCGGCAAGAAGCAGCGCTTCGAGATAGGTAATAGTGCACTTGAAGTTGCAAAAGACTATGTCTACTTAGGGCAGGTAATAACCGCAGAGCCGAACCACGAGATTGAAGTAACTAGAAGAATAAGAATGGGGTGGAGCACATTCGGCAAGCACTCTCAAATTATGACAGGTAGATTGCCACTATCCCTCAAGAGGAAGGTATATAACAGCTGTATCTTGCCGGTACTTAGCTACGGAGCAGAAACCTGGAGACTTACAAAGAGGGTTCACCTTAAATTGAGGACGACGCAGCGAGCAATGGAAAGAAAAATGGTAGGTGTAACCTTAAGAGACAAGAAGAGAGCAGAGTGGATTAGGGAACAAACGGGGGTTAAGGATATCATAGCTGAAATCAAGAAGAAGAAATGGACATGGGCAGGGCATGTAGCGCGTAGACAGGATAACCGCTGGTCATTAAGGGTAACTGACTGGATTCCCAGAGAAAGGAAGCGGGTTAGGGGGAGACAGAAGGTTAGGTGGGCAGATGAGATTAAGAAGTTTGCGGGTATAAATTGGCAGCAGCAAGCACAGGACCGGGTTAACTGGCAGAACATGGGAGAGGCCTTTGTCCTGCAGTGGACGTAGTCAGGCTGATGATGATGATGATGATGATGATGACTGGGGTGAAATTGACTGAACTGCATCATGTTCTGGAATTTTCCGACAAAAGACGAGCTTGTACCGAATGTATTCATTATTTATTATATATTATTCCACAAAGGATACCGTCTTCTAAAGGCGCTGTTTTGCGTGTGTGACGCGTAGCTCTGAACTTTACATGTATACAGCGCAGAAAAAAGCTGTGAGCATGGCTTTTTGTAGCGGATCCAAACGAAGTTCATCTTTGTATGCTCTATCCAACAGCCCACGATGTGACCACGCCCCGCATGTTTGTGCATTCCGTAAGCGGTCGGTGACGCTACGCATAGAATGTGTCATGCAGCATTGTCTCCGTCCTGATTCGATGGTATAATCAGCAGATTTTCGTTATAGTCGGATTTGTGTATACATTAACACGCACTGTTTTACAGTTGTAATGAGATCACAAGAACAGCCGATTTCCCTGGAGTAGTTCTCCGCCACCTCCTGTGTGCATACGATAAGGAATAAATATCGCGATCTATTTCAAGCAGAAATGCGACGTTTTAGACAATTTACCCGTTATATATTTCCACCTTGCTGTCATCACCTTCATATGTTACATACAAAATGAAGCACCAACAAAATGAATTGAAAATCACCCTACGAACAACCTATCACTACTGTGTTTTTTTTTCTGTGCAGCAAATTAAAGTTGTTTATTCTACCCTCCTCCCTTCCCCACCGAAAAGCACTGGTGGCTCTAAACGTTTGAAACGTTTTCTCGGCTAAAACGAAAACTTCATCGGGTAAAATTTCTGTGGACAAAGTTTATGGTTCTCAATTGTGCGCGTTTTTTCTGATAGGTTTTTCTGAGACCCCCCTACGGCACTAGATAGGTCTCAAAATAGTCCACAGTATTGCTTTTATTTATATATTTTGTTTGAGAACCCTAAAAATAGAGATAGGGTAGGCGGAACTTTTAAGATGTAAAGTCCTAGTTAAATGTCTACAAAAATAATTTATGCATCTGAACTTCAATCCCCTTTTGTGGAAAAAAATCCCCACGCAGCTACAAATTGCTCAAACCTACCTACACGCTAAAGAGGAATAATATAAAGGTATAACAAATTTACGTATAGCAAAAGCACCACGCTCGTGAAACGTGAAAAACATGAGGTTAACGATTGCGTGAAAGACGAATTTTAGGAATATTTTTCGTACCCGCTTTTACACCTGTGTGTAATGGTCAAATGTCTCCCACGCGCCTAAACATTTTTAACGACCAATATAATCTGGGAAGACATTGTATAACTTGTTCCTACATGCCTGCGATATTCCGAATTTTATAAAAAAAAAACATTTTGACTGCCATGGTAGGCGCAGTTTGCAGCGATAGTGTCACTCAAGGATTTTCTTGGCATTCAAATATTCGCGCTACGTTAGGAACACCAAGATACAAGTATATACCAATACAGGTAGATACACCAATACCAACATACAAGTAGTATTCTCCAGGTTTGAATCCCTTTTGCTGATAAGAACGGTAGATATAGATTATATCAGCACATATGCGCCAAGATAACTGGCCGCCTGTAGATGAGTGCTTTGTTTGGAAACAGGAGGGAAACGAGTAGGTTTTTACGAGCCGTGGTTTGAGGTCACATTTGTATTTAATAAGAAGAAATCACTGCAATGAGCATTCAACTGGCTGATTTTTGGTCTATTGGCATTTTTTAACGTTTTCGGGCATCTCTACTATTAGGCAAGAAGAATGTGTACGGTGATAACTTTGCCAAATAAATAATTTTGGTACACGCATTACCAGATAGTATTGATGCTGACTGATGAATCCTGTTTTTCTTGTGCAAGTAAATTGTTTTCTGTTAAACATTTGTTGTCCCTTTTTAACGGTACGGATTCAAATGATCGAACCCCAGCTTTACCTACAAGAGGTTCCTTGACATGTTTGTATTTTAATTTCATGTCTTCACAAAATGAATTCACAAGATTGTAAAAATACTAAAATGGACAAAAAATCTTACAATCTGTCCAAATAGCAAGTAGTGCATCGAGAACACCGCCAAGCAATTCGTCTTGTTTTTAGATAAATATTTCTCGGTTTTATTTCCCCGGAATCCTGAAATAGTTATTACAATAACGTACGTTATCTTTTCTGCAAGTGTAATTACTTTCTTTATCACTGAATTCACGCTTCTCGAATTATATTTTTCATGCAGCTCATGGACGATTATGCTTGTCAGCCGTCAGTCCAACTCGTAAGACAATACGCTGCCCCATAAGAGAGCATGAGAAATGTCATTTATTTGAGGTCGATTTAAGTAGTTCATTAGTGTCAATGGCGCAATGGATGAACCTCAAAGCCCGTATGATGCGATAAGTCAGAACGAGCGTGCACCGTATATAGAACACGCCCACAGATTATAACTTACCAGTATCAATGCTGCCGTCACTTTCGTAGAACGCTGCCCTGTCGGCGGCGGTTCAGAAGAGAGTGTTGTGCACGCGCTCTAAGTTACACGGTCACTGAGAAACGTGGCCTTGAGCATCTGAACGGAAGCCTTCACCTCATGCATGCGCGGCGCCGCTGGCCGCCACATCCGCCAGCGATTCGCACGTCGAGTGCGTTGTGCAATGCTGTAAAGAGCAAGATCACAGCTTAACCGTCTCGCTGAAGCTTTGGTCAGCTCGATCTGGACAGGTCTGACCGCAGGCGAGACGCACTGCCACCTTTCAGGGAAAGAAGTACTGCCAGTGCAGTTTAGGGTGTTGGAGACGCCTGATTTACGCCTGCGGCGTTTCAGCCCGTGTATACCATACGATTTCACAAGCGACGCGCGCGTGCAGTATGAATGTGTGTGATACTGACATAAGTAACTATGGACCACTCCGAACGGTCGACGGCTCGGCGAGTGTGTCGACAGCGATGCGTGCGAGCAAGCGGGTGTTTTGATGGGGAAACACGCCAACGTGAACGAAGCTAGTCGCGACGAAATACGGCGGCTAACGAAACCACTGTAAAACCCCCAGTGGCACGTGCGTTTGTGTGTGTGTGACCATAGTGACCATATATATATATATATCCACGGTGCCCGAGATAACTTTAGTCAGAGTTTCAAAATATGCATGCACACGCGATTACGATGTGACCAAACTCATGTTGCTAACTGTTGCCTGGAACTAGTCAGACAATTTTTTGTCCCATAAGATATTTTTAATTATTAATCTGTTTATTTAAATACATTTTCAAAGAACGTGTATGAAGGGACGTATACATACACACATAAATGCATACATGCGTACATGCGTACAGACATGCATGCATACGTACAGACATATATACGTGCATACATGCATACGTACAGACATGCATGCATTCGTACATACATGCATACGTACATACATGCATACGTACATACATGCATACGTACAGACATGCATACGTACAGAATATATACGTACATATATACGTACGTACATACATACATATATGCATATAACATACATATATACATATATGCATACATTGGAGCTGCGTTATATACAGGTATGTGGCATTTCTTTCCTAAGCATGGTTCTCTTTGTCTATTTCCGAAAGTGATCTGTTACGTGTATAAGCACTGCCTTCCTTGCACACACCCTGCAGGAAACTAATGTCCGGGAATCGAACAGCAGGCACACTCGAACGAACCATGTCCAAAAGAATAATCCTTGAACCTACCATGCCGCCGGTATGAAATAAACGAAAGCGCTTACCTAGACTGCGTGAGCAAGTCACCCAATGTGGCTGTTTTTTGCTATGTCTCGTTCAGTCAGCAGTCTTTCTGTGCCGCGTTTACGCATGAAGCGGCGTAAGTTGCGCACATAAAACACTTCGTTGCTGAAATTTTTAACTGTGGAGAATTTATTGGTCAGTGCGAAAACGTGAGCACAAGCGTTTGTCATATTTTGTGTTACCTTCCTTTGTAACGTCAGGTGCGCTGATCTTCCACCATTGTCGTTTGGCCTCTCACTGGTCAATGTCGACCCTTCTATATGCACGCAACACGTTAAGTGAGAGAATCGCGCATCATAATATATTATAATGCAATGTCTGCCGTAACTTTACCGTAAAAATTCCATAAACCAAGCACATCTTTGATATTACTGATGTTGCAATTTCGTTATAAACTACTGGGGCTCACTTTCTGCAGGCGCTGCAAGCAGCTACGCGCGTATGGAACTGTGACTCTGGCACAAGGGCGATACCTAAAAAGAGGAAGACGACAACGTGACGTTGTTGATGCGAGTTGAACGCTCGAGCTATCCGCTTGGTCTGCGATACTGCGCGGTCTGCGCCGCGTTAGCAGTCAATAAATAAATCATCCGCGTAACAGTATATAGCATATAAAGTGAGCCGTGGCATGACCGCCACGGCTGCTAAGTGTTGGAGCATCGGACGCGTTATTAGAAGGTCACAGGCTCGGCCCAGCCGGTGGCAGGTTACGTTTTGGTTAACGTTTTTTTCTTCCCATCTACACTACATCCCCTATACTTCTCTTTGCATCCTTGTCTGTTAGTTGTCATTATAATATGACTATAAAAGAAACTGGGCCCTTATATTGACACTGTTTCTTTTATCGTTTCTTATTCTCTCTTGCTAACGGGCGATATGGATCGTGCTGTGTTGATCACGTTCGTCGAGCAGTATTCGGCAGCAAGCCCTCTGCAGAGCGCGAATGCTGCAAAAAATCAAATACGAGTCCCACACAGCATTCTCTGATCCACAGTGAAGCAAAGGTTCGTGTTTTTTTGGCGCCTTTGTTTTCATGTGGAGAATGGCGCCTATATGTGTAAGGCAGTTTTTGTCCGCGGTACTTCAGACGACTATCGGAATGGATAAGCAGCGTATTCGTAGCAACGATTTGCAAATTTATTGTGTAAAATACAGTCAGTCCTTCACTGGGTGTAGACAACTTACTGCCACTTAGTGCCAGAACTCTCCAAGGTGTTTACAGCATATTTTTTTTAATAGCGGAGCAATTTAAACATAGTATAGGCCAATGACGGCTAAGCCAAAGTTATCGTCATTGTAAACCAGTACTTCTTTTCAACCTCATCGTAATCGGCTTTGCACCCAGAATACCAGAATATCTGAAGTGATTTGTCTGACATGGTCTGTTTGAACACTCAAAGTTGATAGATGGAATGAAGAGAGAGAAATAAAAATAAAGAAGAAAGATAAAAAAGGATGTTTCCAGCGAAAAAAAGATCGTGATGACATGGGATTCGAACCGTTGTCCTCAAGATATCAAGGAGAGCATCACAACCATACGAGTTTCCGGGCACGCTATTTTAGCATAACATAGTCTTACATAGTGTAGTACTCCAAGAGAATGGCAAAAGTACGTTTGGTTGAGGAAAAGAAAAACGGGAAAGGGGAGAGAGTTTGGCTCAGCATACAAAGAATTAAAGGGAAATATAGTGAAATAAACTTGCAGAAAACAAAAATATAGACAGATCAGGTGACTCGAGCAAGGAAAAGGAGAAATATGTGGACACACAAAAAAAGTAGGAAGAGTAGAAAGAGCAACAAAAAACAACAAAAAAGGTGCTAAAGAAAGGAGGATTTGAATAAAGCATTGATGGACAGACATGCTTTCAACAATCTTTTCTCATGCCGTTCAATGAAAATACAAAAAAAGCACCGCGAGACGCTCGTTTATGGCCCGAAGTGCCAGATCTTGACGTATCGCTGCGTAGATTGTCGCCCACTATGCGCGGGTTTTCAAAGGGATTGGCTGCGCCGACTTCGCGGAGGAGGCACTGAATCTCGTGAATCCCGAAGAGCCGCCGGGGGCCAGCGTGTTGGCCGAACAACCGCTATATTTTCCGATGCACAAGAGGCTGCCATTTCGGTTGTTTATACTTGCGCCCCGTGGTGCCTCGCTCGCTACAGTCTAAGCCGATAATGACGGTCCGCTCAGTGGCTGACCGTAAGGCGCATGCGCAGTAGCGCAACCACTGACTGCCTGAGCAGAGCGGGAGGTCAGATTGGTCAGCTAAAAAAAAAAACCTTATATCACTTCCATCCCGTGCCATCGCACTCGAATTCTCGTGCCATCGTGCCATGGAATTCTCGTTCAAGAACGCACATAACGGCACAAGATTCTCATTTATTTTCCACCTATCACATACGTACAGGCCGGGATCACAGAAGCTATTTACAAATTCGTACCTATCCTGTTTACCCATCGTGATATTTTTTCCCTGTAATGCACTGAAAGTTAAATGAAAGAGCAAGAAAAACGCAGTACTGTGCTTATGTGACAATCAATGTAGCCATAGCTTCACAAATCTACCTTGCTTTTGTGTGTGTGTGTGTGGTGTGTGTGTGTGTGTGTGTGTGTGTGTTGTGTGTGTGTGTGTGTGTGTGTGTGTGTGTGTGTGTGGTGGGTGTGTGTGTGGTGTGTGTGTGTGTGTGTGGTGTGTGTTGTGGTGTGTGTGTGTGGTGTAATGCGATTTTCATTTTCTGCTCGAGAGTTGTGCGTGCAATCGTACTTTTGTTTTTTTATTTTTTATTGCTATATGACTGTGTAATATTGATCAGAGGTGTAGTACTTGATTTTCAGGTACCCTTTTATATATTTGTGAATGCTGCTGCTGCTTGCTGCTGCTTGCTTGCTGCGGCTTGCTTGCTGCTGCTTGCTTGCTGCTGCTTGCTTGCTGCTGCTTGCTTGCTGCTGCTTGCTTGCTTGCTGCTTGCTTGCTGCTTGCTTGCTGCTGCTTGCTTGCTGCTGCTTGCTTGCTGCTGCTTGCTGATGCTGCTGCCGCTGCTGCTTGCTTGCTGCTGCTGCTTGCTGCTGCTTGCTTGCTGCTGCTGCTTGCTGCTGCTTGCTTCCTGCTGCTTGCTGCTGCTTGCTTGCTGCTGCTGCTGCTGCTGCTTGCTTGCTGCTGCTTGCTTGCTGCTGCTTGCTTGCTGCTTGCTTGCTGCTGCTTGCTGCTGCTTGCTTGCTGCTGCTTGCTTGCTGCTGCTTGCTTGCTGCTGCTTGCTTGCTGCTGCTTGCTGCTGCTTGCTTGCTGCTGCTTGCTTGCTGCTGCTTGCTTGCTGCTGCTTGCTGCTGTTTGCTGCTGCTTGCTGCTGCTTGCTTGGTGCTGCTTGCTTGGTGCTGCTTGCTTGCTGCTGCTTGCTTGCTGCTGCTTGCTTGGTGCTGCTGCTTGGTGCTGCTTGCTTGGTGCTGCTTGCTGGTGCTGCTTGCTTGGTGCTGCTTGCTTGGTGCTGCTTGCTTGCTGCTGCTTGCTTGCTGCTGCTTGCTTGGTGCTGCTTGCTGCTGGCTTGCTGCTGCTTGCTTGGTGCTGCTTGCTTGCTGCTGCTTGCTGCTGCGGCTTGCTGCTCTTGCTTGCAGCTGCTTGCTTGCTGCTGCTTGCTGCTGCTTGCTTCTGCTGCTTGCCTGCTGCTTGCTGTGCTGCTGCTTGCTTGCTGCTGCTTGCTTGCTGCTTGCTTGATGCTGCTTGATTGCTGCTGCTTGCTTGCTGCTGTTGCTTGCTGCTGCTTGCTTGTGCTGCTGCTTTGGCTGCGGCTGCGCTGCTTGCTTGCTGCTGCTTGTCTTGCTGCGCTTGCTTGCTGTGCTTGCTTGCTGCTGCTTGCTTGTGCTGTGGTTGCGCTCTTGCTTGCTGATGCTTCCTGCTGTGCTGCTTGATGCTGCTTGCTGCTTGCTTGCTTGCCGCTGCTGCTGCTGCTGCTGCTGTATGCGTGGCACGGCCCAGCCAGCAATGTTTGCTTTTTGCCGTGTCTCCTTGGACAACTTCGTCATTGTTATTGATAAACTCATAAATGAAGAAAGAAAGAACTGAGTGCTAGCGTTGCACATTTTTCCATTATTGGCCGCTCACCAACCTCACGATCAGCGCGACATGGCAAGGGGCCAGCCCGCATGGGTATTTGTAGTTGAAGAACATAGCGATACGGTGAAACTGTCGTTTCATATGAACACTTAAGAGGAAAACTGCATTATTCTATTAATAAATCACGCTTACCCAGTGCCGTGCCAAAAGCCCCCACTCTTGCTTCAAAAGCTCTTGGTAAGCGAGAAAGTGTGCTGAAGGAAAATGCAGGTCATGACGCCTCTACTTCCGCTCCAAATTTTGAGGGCGTCATATATTTCGGCAGTCGTTTATTGATTAAAAAGACATACATTTGCGTTATAAGCGGCTTCCAGAGACTTACCTTAGCGAGTTTCGGGTGAAAAACGTGGACGTGAAACACCACAGACTGTTATATTGGAAACATGGCACAGAAATATTAGAGAAAAAATATACCAAAAACACTTGCCATTCTTATGCTGGTCTAAAATTCAATCCGTTATATTGTCTTAATTTTTCAAATATTTTATGTGTCTTTCCACATTTATATGTGCGTGACAAAATAACAAACATTCTTCAAATAACGTCCTAAATTTTCAGCTTCGCGTTTTTCGCCAATCCGCCGAAATGGGTACGGGCCATAGATTGCAAAAGCAAGCAAGCAAATGCAAGAGCGTGATTCGAGAAGAAAGAAGATCTGGTCAAGCTGCCCGAATGGGATATGTCATGCGTGAGTATTCAAAAGCTCCACCGCAGTCGTGTTGGATTTATAAGAACTCATGTACGCTCTTTCAAGACGTGTGATGTGTTGGTAAATAACACTAAGTGTTCTTATTCTAAAAAACATCCGCCTCCTCGGGGACGTGTCAGTTCTATTCTCGCGGTAACAAACTTTCATTTCTGTGGAATGAAAATGCTTAAATAATATTTGTGCGTACATCGTGCATTCATTCAAATTAAGAAGACTGTGGAGGCTTG